ATATATATATATATATATAAATATGTTATATAAATCTGTGAATGGACGATATCAAGTATTACATTTGTCCCAGATGGTGGGATGACAAAAGGAGTTGTGAAGTCATGAGTGACAGCCAGAGAACTGGAGAGGTCAAGTTTGGCCTGGATCATACGGCAGGTGAGTGACCCAGTCATGGTCATACATTAGTTTCTGTTAATTTCATGGAACCAGTTAACATAGGCTGGGGCGGGGGGGGGGGGCTGGGGGGATCCGAGAGTATTTCCCTTTTTTCCTTGTTTTTATTCATGGAAATATCTCAGAGATCTGACGAAACCCCCGACACCTGGTCACCTTAATTTTTAAAAAGCACCATCTCATAAATATTTTACTGTTAAGTTTTTTTTTTTTTTGAGTGTGACATGACCCCGAAAGGGTTTTGCTCTTTCTGTCCCGCAACCCAGGTGTATTCATCGTCGGTCTGTTTGGCGTCTGTGTGGCCGCCATACTGTTCGTCAGCAAGAAGGTCTGGCTGCTCATCCTGCGGACGTTCAGAAAGTATCAGAAAAGGCGGAAAAACCCGAGAACCCCCGAACAGGACAGCCCGGTGAACAACGGCATGGATGAGGCTAAAAGAGAACGACTCCGGCTCTACTACGGGGACAAAGGGGAAGCTGTATGAGAACCGCTGAGAATGGGGGGGGGGACAAACATTTTATTTTTATTTTTTTTTAGTTTTCAATTACTGAGCTTTCCCTGTGATGGATTATTGTGATAAATGAGTGGTGAAAGGTTGGATTCTGGTAATGACCTATTGACCTGAGCATGTTTTGTAAGACATTTGATTTTGGATGAGTGATTGAATATCGACAACTGCTATTTTTTTTAACATATTGTATTTATTTTAGACCTCGGATCGATACATCGGGTAGATCTTTAAGTTGAATAGTGGTTAGTAGAGGGGGGATACTCATAAATAGAACAATTGACCAATACAAGATTTTCATGTTATCAGAGCACTCTGAACGCTTTAACCGTATCAAAATAAATTGAAAATGTAATAAGATTGTGCTGACTGTTTTACAGAAGATTCGTTGGCCAGTCGTGCAAACAGTTATCTTTCATATTATGGGGTCACTGGTGTGTTAAGAAAAAAATATTGCCTCAGGCGTAACGGAGGATGTGTTGCCCCCATGGGTGGGTTTGCTTTTTGGGTGCATGGCCATCTGACGAGTCACCGCCGGGTTGGTTGCAATCGCTCATTCCACATCAAGGTAGGTTGCCCACGGTCATGCAGCCAATGGGCAGGTTGCCCACGGTCATGCAGCCAATGGGCAGGTTGCCAATGGTCATGCAGCCAATGGGCAGGTTGCGGTAGGTTTGTCATTAAAATATTGGTCGTTCTTTCTGTGCTTCGGTTAGATGAATCAGATCACCGATTTCATTTGCTTGTCATTAAAAAATTTAAAAAAAAAAAAACCTCGTTTAAGAATGATAACTCACCTTAACGTAACAACTCTCCGTATTGTTTGACTTGGGCGATAAGATGCAACCTTCCATCACCAACACCACTGAATCACAATTTATATGTGCTTGTTATGCATTTCTCTTCTCATTTTATGCATATAAAAAATGTTATGATTATATTCATGTGCTATAAAATGTATCTGGACATCTTCATGCACCGTTTTCTCATCTGATTCCATTCGTGTGATTCTCTTACCTGATTCTGAATGTCATCATTTTGGTTTCAACTCTTTGTATCGCTATTGAGCCATGGCTTTGAAAATGTAACATTTTATAACTACTCTTTCCAGGGTTTGTAAATTGTTGTTATATATATATATCTCTCTCTCTCTCTCTCTCTCTATATATATATATATATATATATATATATATATATATATATATATATATATTGTTATGTATAGCTTGTTTACAACACTTTTCTCGTGTGTGCACTCTGGTTGACCCCACATGAGACGCTACGTTCATAGATGGGCGTGGCTTAGTCTTTTGATCTGTCGTGTTTATTGACGACAGCAACTAAAAATACTTAATTTGTTCTCAGTGGTGTTTGGTCGAATGTTCGCGATTGTATTAGAGGCGTTTCTAGACGCGTCGGTAGACCCACAAATAAAAAGGCTTGACAGGCACAGAGAGAGAGGGAGATTGATTATTATTTTTAACTTCACGAGACGTGTATTATTTTTTGTGTACTTATATGTGTTTAGTCACATTCATAATTCATCATTATTAATTGGCACATTGTACTAATTGTGTACCGGTACGAGATTTTCCCATGCTCTGTAAGTTGATGATGTGTAATTATATTTCTTTTGTTCTGTAATTGTAATATAACTAAATTAAATCTTACTAATTGTAATTGGCAACTGTTTTTGCGTATCGTAACTTTATCATTGTATTTCTCTATGGTATCGTCCTTTGTTAGGCACTATTTGAACGAGCCATAAATTTAAAATAGGAGATTAATTCCTCACAATAGAAGCCAGTGCGTAACAATATATATATATATATATATAAATATGTTATATAAATCTGTGAATGGACGATATCAAGTATTACATTTGTCCCAGATGGTGGGATGACAAAAGGAGTTGTGAAGTCATGAGTGACAGCCAGAGAACTGGAGAGGTCAAGTTTGGCCTGGATCATACGGCAGGTGAGTGACCCAGTCATGGTCATACATTAGTTTCTGTTAATTTCATGGAACCAGTTAACATAGGCTGGGGCGGGGGGGGGGGGCTGGGGGGAGCCGAGAGTATTTCCCTTTTTTCCTTGTTTTTATTCATGGAAATATCTCAGAGATCTGACGAAACCCCCGACACCTGGTCACCTTAATTTTTAAAAAGCACCATCTCATAAATATTTTACTGTTAAGTTTTTTTTTTTTTTGAGTGTGACATGACCCCGAAAGGGTTTTGCTCTTTCTGTCCCGCAACCCAGGTGTATTCATCGTCGGTCTGTTTGGCGTCTGTGTGGCCGCCATACTGTTCGTCAGCAAGAAGGTCTGGCTGCTCATCCTGCGGACGTTCAGAAAGTATCAGAAAAGGCGGAAAAACCCGAGAACCCCCGAACAGGACAGCCCGGTGAACAACGGCATGGATGAGGCTAAAAGAGAACGACTCCGGCTCTACTACGGGGACAAAGGGGAAGCTGTATGAGAACCGCTGAGAATGGGGGGGGGGGACAAACATTTTATTTTTATTTTTTTTTAGTTTTCAATTACTGAGCTTTCCCTGTGATGGATTATTGTGATAAATGAGTGGTGAAAGGTTGGATTCTGGTAATGACCTATTGACCTGAGCATGTTTTGTAAGACATTTGATTTTGGATGAGTGATTGAATATCGACAACTGCTATTTTTTTTAACATATTGTATTTATTTTAGACCTCGGATCGATACATCGGGTAGATCTTTAAGTTGAATAGTGGTTAGTAGAGGGGGGATACTCATAAATAGAACAATTGACCAATACAAGATTTTCATGTTATCAGAGCACTCTGAACGCTTTAACCGTATCAAAATAAATTGAAAATGTAATAAGATTGTGCTGACTGTTTTACAGAAGATTCGTTGGCCAGTCGTGCAAACAGTTATCTTTCATATTATGGGGTCACTGGTGTGTTAAGAAAAAAATATTGCCTCAGGCGTAACGGAGGATGTGTTGCCCCCATGGGTGGGTTTGCTTTTTGGGTGCATGGCCATCTGACGAGTCACCGCCGGGTTGGTTGCAATCGCTCATTCCACATCAAGGTAGGTTGCCCACGGTCATGCAGCCAATGGGCAGGTTGCCCACGGTCATGCAGCCAATGGGCAGGTTGCCAATGGTCATGCAGCCAATGGGCAGGTTGCGGTAGGTTTGTCATTAAAATATTGGTCGTTCTTTCTGTGCTTCGGTTAGATGAATCAGATCACCGATTTCATTTGCTTGTCATTAAAAAATTTAAAAAAAAAAAAACCTCGTTTAAGAATGATAACTCACCTTAACGTAACAACTCTCCGTATTGTTTGACTTGGGCGATAAGATGCAACCTTCCATCACCAACACCACTGAATCACAATTTATATGTGCTTGTTATGCATTTCTCTTCTCATTTTATGCATATAAAAAATGTTATGATTATATTCATGTGCTATAAAATGTATCTGGACATCTTCATGCACCGTTTTCTCATCTGATTCCATTCGTGTGATTCTCTTACCTGATTCTGAATGTCATCATTTTGGTTTCAACTCTTTGTATCGCTATTGAGCCATGGCTTTGAAAATGTAACATTTTATAACTACTCTTTCCAGGGTTTGTAAATTGTTGTTATATATATATATATATATATA